TTGGAATAATACTAAATCAAGGGATTTTAGATAAAGAGAAAAACCACATTGCTAAAAAGAGTTGCTCTCAAGGCCATTTGCAAGGGCAGAAATGGAAACCAACTAGGATAGGGAGTTGAGTTGAAATCATTATACAGTACTATAGGTGAACACCAGAAGAGCGAAAGACGATTCCTCTTTCATCGGGGGGGGGGGGAATTGGTCAACTTATTCTCCTCATTCTGAATGAAAAACTTTGCACAGAACTCTACTTCCACGGGAGGAGGTAAAATCATCCAACATCTGGAAGCAATATAAAATGCCCAATGTACATTCTTCTTTATAGCTGTACAGTTACACTAATGTGATTTTCTACTTGGGCTAAAGTGATATATATATATATATATTCAATGAAAGTAGGAGAAAAATGACCCATAGCAGTCTTCCTTTCTGCTCCCTCTCTCCCCTTTTTTTTCCGGCAAGTTTCCCAGAGATATTAGTAAGGATTCTCCTGTTAGGTGGAAGAGATAAAATAAAGGATAAATTGCCGTTGTGAGTGTGCACAGATTAGTTAATAAGGATTAGCTCATCTTTAACACTATTCATTTGGAGGATATACACTGGGTGAGGTTAAATCATGGTCAGAAGAGAATGGAATTCAAAGGCCTGACTAGATATAATTCCAGTTCCTCCCAAATCTGAGAGTAGTGATTTATTAGTTGTGGACAACATTCAGTAAGGATTATAATAAAAGGAAATGATTGGCTCATGTAAAAAAAAAAAAATGAGGTGCTGTAAGATTTTGGAAGTAGTCTTTGGTAGAATCTGATGGACTATAGGTTCATTTCAAATTCTGATGGCACTTTACTTCATCCCATATCACGGAACCCAGCTATCTTTAAAAAATAATAATAATACTGGAGTTTTTCTTCTCATTTTTTCAAGTGCCGTATTTTAGCCCCTGTTGAATCAAATTTTCACATCCTGGAAGACGTGTGTATAAAATACTTGTCTTTGTATTAGATTCTGAACTATGAACTCATGGCATGAAAGCCTTATGCTTTATAGGATCTCAGCCAATGTTATGGATTTTTCCCAGTGTGTGAGAGCTAAACCTAGGGACACAATTTAATCCACCATTACTGTTGCAATTCTCAGCATCCTCCTGGATACTAGCTCCTTTCACTCAATTATTTCATTATTCTATATTGAGTAGGGAGTTAAAGTAGGGATATCAACCATTTTCAGAGCTGGGACTCCATCTTTATCTTCTATGAGATACAATCCCCTTGACTTTCTTCCTTCTAACACGAGATCCTTGCACTATAAAGTTATATACGGATTTCTAAGTGCTAGGACCGCAAGAAATATACTGTATCTGCCCCCAATCTAGATGACACTATTGTCTCATCTAGGTCTTCTCATCCCTGCAACCCTACCTGTTAGGAATATTCAGGTTTACATATTTATGATACCCGGGAGTACATGTTCATTACGGCATTCTTTCTCCAGAATCCAGAAAGCTTTCTGGATTATGAAATTTATTCACAATCATGATGTGTGCTGGGAAAGGTGGAAAGCTGTGCTTCTTCTTCATATATGTCAACCTTTTTTTTCCCCTGCAGACAAATTGTCCTTTCAGAGGATGCTATAAAAAGGCACGGCAAAAACTCTGAATCTAAAAACATATAGTAGTTGCTATATTTTATAATAGGATTTGGATCCAACTCAGTTTTGTCAAAAATTCATTTGCTCCAAATCCAACTAAATTATGTCCTAGGGCTTGAGGAATGCAATGGTATGATAAAAGCACAATGTTTATTATATTGAAGTTTTTTGGGGGAAAAGATGGGACCATGTTTAAGAGGTTAGGAGTGTAACATCGCCTCTTAACCTCTTGAAGAATCTCATGAGTGATGAGTAACGCTGTGATATTCTTAGAAGAAACAAGGAAATATCTGGAAAGTAGAAGACCGGCAGATGAAAGTTTTTCTCATTTCTACTCTTTAAAACCAAAATCTCTGCCAGAGAAAAGCAATCATTTTGTCACAAATTTGGGTAAACCCAGGATGCTGGAAATTGTATACTGCTGATAGGCTGTGGTTTGCCCATCCCAATATAAACATTTAAAAATTGTTTTAAAAGACTTTTTCTTTTCCTTCTTATTTCATTTAGCAATTAAAGGCTATTCCATGTTCTGGCTCCTATTAAGTTCTGGGTCAAAGGCTGAACATTTTTGCCTTTTCTAAAATTTGTTTACAAATTGATTTGAGTTTCAGCAATTTCCTATCTGACTGCTGAGATGTATGCAAAGCAGATGGTCTCAGGGACTGAAAGTATAGGATGTAGATCCTTGGCCAAAGCTAAGCAGTTGGGGATGGAGTAAGTATATTGAAAAAACAAAAAATTAACAAGGGAACCAATCTGAATATTCCAATGCAAGAAAGTAGAGACATATTTGGAATAAACGGCCTCTACTAAGGGAGTGTGGAATGTGAAGCTCTTCAGATATTGCTGAACACAGATAGTTTTCTCGACTTTTGACCATTCATTTAACAATGGTTCAAAGTTACAATAGCCTCAGGAAAAAAATGACTTATGACCTGTCCTTGAAATTATGACCATTGCACCACTCCAGTGGTCACATAATCAAAATTCAGGTACTTGGCAAATGGCTCACATTTATGACCATTGTAGATCTTGCTGTCAGTGACCTACTATGGAAAAGGAAAAGGAAAGTTCTTACAGGAAATGTCTAATTTAATGAAAAGAAGAACTGGGGCTGACATGATAGCAGTGTTCCAATATTGAAGGGGAAGAGGGGGTCAACCTATTCTTCAAAGCATCTGAAGTCAAGAGAAGAAGCAATGAACGGAAATCAATCAAGAAGAGAACCAACCTAAAACTAAGGAGAAATTTCCTAAAACTGGGTGGGGCAGGGTGGGGCAGGGCAGAGTGGGCAGGGCAGAGTGGGCAGGGCAGGGGTAGGCCAGGGGGTGGGGCAGTTTTGGGGCACTCGGTCTCTAAAAAGTTCCCCATCACTGCTCTATAGTGCAGTGGTTCTCAACCTTTTTAGTGCCGCGACCCCCAACCGGTCGTAAGTCGAGGACTAAACCGGTCGTAAGTCGAGGACTAAACCGGTCGTAAGTCGAGGACTAAACCGGTCGTAAGTCGAGGACTACCCAACCGGTCGTAAGTCGAGGCCTTTCCCTGCCCGGGAGCACCGCGCATGCGTGGTTCCGCCCCCTGCGCTGGCCGAGGCATAGCTGGCAAGCGGCAGAGACGGAGCAGGCCGACCACCAGCTGGCCCAGCCCAAGGGAGGTAAGGCACCCGCCAGAAAAGGGGAAAAAAATGGCGGGGGAAAAAAATGGCGGTCGCGACCCATAGGTTGAGAACCGCTGCTATAGTGCTTTGGATTCAGTTCCTCAATTGCTCCTTTGAAATCCATGAAGGTGTGACTATAACACGCATTCATAGTCGGACCAGGAACCTATGGCCGCTATCCTCAAATAGGCCATATGAACCCAGGAAAAGACATGTCTCTTTATGGCACTGCAGAAGATGTTCTGGGTGTAGTTCCATAGTGCCAAAGCTATTTTGGAAACTGAATCCAAAGTACTGGACAGCCCTACTAGCATGGCCCCTTCTGCTTTCCTCAAGACAAAATGAAATTTCAGGAAACAGGACAAACTGCCTAAATTATTCAGATTTAGCTTCTATGGAGAGATGGGTGGCACTTTAAAAATTAGGGCTTCACAAATCATTGAGCTGATATTTCACTTGGATGAAATTCTGGGTTCTCTTTGTCCATAAAAGCCTTTTTTTACAACTGGTAATGTTGGAAGAGGGCTTGGGTGTGTATCTGTGTTTGTGTGTGTTTGTATGCAAGTGAAGCAAATTGTGATATTTCCTGGCCCTTCGCTGAGGTACAGTATAGCACAACCAATTTATACAAGCCTAATAGGACTTTTCATATCACTGACCTATATAAACATTGCAGATTTCTGTGCAATTTTGGGCGGATTTTTCTGCTTTTGAGTATTCACTTCCAGTTTCCCACAAAAAAGAAAGCCCACTGGGGAAAATAGATTTGCTTAATAACCACTATGTTCACTTAACAACCACTGCAAAAAAAAAAAGTTGTGGAATTGGGAGCAGTCACAGGTTAACCCACTTAACAACCTCCAGAACGTCTGATTATAATTCCAGGCTGAATTAGAGCTGTAAATTGAGGAATATCTGCATCAAGCAATGGTAGCCAGACTCAGCAAAAAGAATTCAGAGCCATTTATAGTGAGAAGAGGGGAGGGGGGGCAGAAATCACCACAAAAGTCTTACATCTGTGCCACCAGCCTTAAACGATTAAGGGGTGTCAAAGAGAGAGGAAAAGAAATAAGATTTAGTGCTTACATCCCCTCAACCCTCTTCCCTGTCCACCTTGCCTCCCTTCCCTTCCTCCCGTGTTTTTATTAGCCAATATTTTTCAATACATCAGCGTCAGCTATGATGAAACTGGTGGCAGATATTCCTGAAAAGCAGCTGGTTCAACATCCCATGGGTCTACTTGCTTTCACTAGGGAGAGTTCTTAAAGTGACCGGGGCTGGAATAGCTACAGTTGGGAACAAACCTAAAGTGGGAGTTGTGGAAGTACACAACTCCCTGGCACATAATATTTTGATATTTTGAAAAAAATGTGGAAAGATCTGAGGTTCCTTCAAGCAGACCCTGCAACATGCGGGCGTCTGGCTTTGGAGTGTCAAATCAAATACACATCTCCAGTTGGTGCGATGTCTCTTGAGGATTTTCCTTCCCCAAAAAAAATGGGAGGAAGCAAGGATTGAACATGATAAACACAGAGAACAAAAAACCTTCCACAAGCTATGATGGGGGTTATCATTTACTGTCATCTCAATTATTACCTGCAGCGTCAGTGATGAGCAATGGAGAGGTACTGCCAGGAAAAAACAAAACAAAAAACAGACAACTTACTTACTTAACAGCGGATCCCACATCACTTACCTGGAACCGTCGCATATCTCGAGGGTTTCCGGCGGTCTTCAAACAGTTCTGGTTGCACTTGAGGAAGAATTTTAAGAAGAATCTGCAGGGGGAGAAAAGGGAACGGGCTTGACATCTTCCGTTTTTAAGAAATTAAACCCTAATATCATTTAGTTGCTTTGCGCCAATGTGTTTGTGCCCTGTGGCGGGAACCATCAGGGGGATACCAACTGACTGTCGAAAAGGAGACTTGTCAATTAAAACAGATTAAAATGACATTTCTGGCTGCATCTGCAAAGCAAGATCTGAAATGATCGGGAACCAGGGCTTTGTCACCCTGAAGTCACATAAGGAAAGATAGAAGGAGTGCAAAGGGAATGAATTTATATATGCAAATACACGGACAGAAGTACAGCGAACGCCTCATTTCCCTTTTCCCTGAGTGTAAAGGACATTCAGACATTACTCTGTAGCAAAACTGACTTTCTCAATGAAGGTCCACACCGAAGCTACAACTCCATCAGGATACTTTGATATGTTTCTCTTAATGATAGAGACGTTTTCAGAGGTGCAGCTCATTTTGTGAGGTGAGAAGAAAGTGCAAAATCTATTTATAAGGTTCAGTTCCATAGAATTGAATTTGGTTCTGTTCACTTTTTTTTTTGTTTTCAAAAATTTATTTCCATTCTGTAAGATTTCCACATCCGTGCACAAATTTTTAGAAGTCCAAACAAAAACTGCCTGTATTTTTGACACCATTTCTCCAAATGTACTCTTTTCCTCTCTGCTTCTTCTTCTTCTTCTTTTTTTTTCCAAATACATCAACAGAACATTTTGTAGAACGCCCTACGCACGGTCACTCAAGCCCTCGTTGTTTCCCGCCTGGACTATTGCAATGCTCTCTACATGGGGCTCCCCTTGAGGTGCACCTGGAGGCTCCAGCTAGTTCAGAATGCGGCTGCGCAGGGGATTTTGGGGGCCTCTAGATGCTCCCATGTAACACCTCTCCTGCGCGAGCTGCACTGGCTGCCGGTGGCCTTCCGGGTGCGCTTCAAGGTGTTAGTAACAACTTTTAAAGCGCTCCATGGCAATGGACCTAGGTATTTGCAAGACCGCCTCCTACCAAATATCTCCCTTCGACCAGTCCGCTCCCACAGAGAGGGCCTCCTTAGGGTGCCTTCGGCCAGACAATGCCAGCTGGCGACCCCCAGGGGGAGAGCCTTCTCTGTGGCAGCTCCTGCCCTCTGGAATGACCTGCCCCCTGACCTATGTACAATTGCGGACCTGCGCCTCTTCTGCCGAGCCCTGAAAACTCATCTGTTCCATGCGGCCGGCCTGGCGTAGTTTTGATTGGGTTTTGTTAGGGGTTCTATATTTTAGAGCAGGCTTTTATGTAATATTTACTGTGATTTTTATTATTACCTGTTCACCGCCCTGAGTCCCGTAAGGGAGATAGGGCGGTATATAAATTTAAATAATAAATAATAATAAATAAATAAATAAATAAATAGAACAGGCTCTTATTTCCTTGCTTTTCCCTCTCACGTACCCTCATTTTTATACTTTCCCTAATTTTAGCAACATTTTCTTCTAATTTGTACGCACACACCCCCACACACACACATCCTCTCTTACTTCCAGCCCATGCATATTCTGGAAAATATGCTTTTCTTTCTTTTGTGAGCTTCATAAAATTTAGCGAAGAAGCATGCATAATGTGAAGGAAAGATAACATGAAGAAAAAGCAATGACATCCAAAAGGTACAACGGATGAGATGTTGAGTGCCCCTGTCAGGGACAAAGGGTTAAACTTCTACCGCGCATATTATGTTCATTATGTAGCCTTGGGCAAACCTCTGCATTTCACTTTAAGTCATTTTACAAGACTTCTGGGAATTTAAATGATAGAAATTCATACATCAGTTGCTCACAGAGCCTTCCACCCACCTATATTCTAGAGGGTTGCCTTATTTTGTGCTGTAAGGCAGCATTTATAATACTCCCCTTCTAATTTTATCTTTTTGATTCTACAATTGCTGGAAATTGGTATCTGGTATTCTCAAGTCCACATCTAACTGTCTATGGAGATTCTCAATCATCCAGGTCATGGTTGTTCCAAAGGTGCTCTTCCAAAAAGCAACTGAAGAAGCTTCTTGGATGAGAAGTGAAATGTTTTTAAGGAAAAAAAACAAGAAAGTCCTGTTGCCCTTTGGAAAAACACCTTTGAGTCAAGTCCAGGTCTTTAAATATCACAATGCATCTGTAGGCATGCAACTTTATCTGTGCTGGTTGAATGGGGAATGCAAATTTGTGATGTGGGAATTAGGTGTGGTTCTGCTTAAGAGCTAATTTGAAATGTTAAATATGTTGGATTAAGACAGATGAATTCTAGATTAGAAGTCCCATCAGGAAATTGATACGCTTCTCTTAGGTCAGGTATTATTTTTTGACCTAATATGTGGAATTTTGGTATGATAAATATGAGTGGGAACAGTCTCAAGAAATGGTGGCACCTGGCCAAATTTGTTTGGGCTAAAAAAAAAATTCTGATGGTTTAGGCTTCGTTGGATAAGAAATCTCCAAGAAATGCAGAAGGTGGAAGGTGAAGAAGAAGAAGAAGAAGAAGAAGAAGAAGAAGAAGAAGAAGAAGAAGAAGAAGAAGAAGAAGAAGAAGAAGAAGAAGAAGAAGAAGAAGAAGAAGAAGAAGAAGAAGAAGAAGAAGAAGAAGAAGAAGAAGAGGAAGAGGAAGAGGAAGAGGAAGAGGAAGAGGAAGAGGAGGAGGAGGAGGAGGATACATTGGAGTTTTAATTGAAGAATAGAATAAAAATATACTAATAAATATGAAGAGGTATGTGATCATATAACACATTTTTTAATCATATAAAACATTAATGGTCAGACCTTTGGAAGTTAGCTGAAGGTCTTTTTCACATGCCCAAGCTAAGCAGTCTTAAAACCTTTTATGACTTCTTCAGTTCTTCCACAACTATTATTTGCAACTGCCTCCATCCACCTATGTTTTTAACCTTTGGTTCTAGTCTGTCTATTTGGACTTAATTTAAATTTTATTATAGGTGTTTTACTTTTTCTAATGGTACTTATATTTTATGGTCAACTGTCTAGAGAATATTTGTTCTGAGTAGCAAGAAGGTACTGTAAATCAAGGGTAGGTGAGTTAGCACACTGGGACACTCAGCCAATTTAGTTCTTGAGCAAATTCCAAGCTTTTTAGTAGGAGTTTGAGAGCTCTGGTGAGAATTCTTGTGTCTTTTCTGTGTCTGTTGCTTGAAAAAGAAGGTAGAAAGAGCAGGAAAGAAAGAAAAATGGGAAAGTCAGAAACAGACATCTCTGCCTCCACCTTCTCCTCCTACTTTGCTTTATAGTCCCAAAGAAAAAGGCCAAGAGAATACAATCTTCAGCAGAAACAACATTGTCCACTCTTGATGTAAATAAAAGACAAACAATAAACATATTAGTTCTATGTAATTGCATTTACTCATGTTTTACAAGAGAAAAGCCCACTTTAGTACTCTGGAATCTTCTCAGTAGTAAATGTTCTAAAAAAACAACAGATGAAGACAAGTACTTGAGATTTGTGCTTTCAAAAGGACAGACGCAGAACTACTCACTGAGTCCTTTAAACTCAGAGCAAAATAACTCTAGCATTATGAAAATGGACAATACTGGAAGACTTCCTATCAACAGAATAGGAAGTCAACAGCTACTTCCCAATAACTCGCTATATTATATTTTGTCCCCATTCAAGATCACTGCAATAAATTTTCAGGAAAGATTCCATTATTGGTCAGAACACAGCAACGTTATTAGTACATCTTTCCTCTTTTAACTTTCCTCTTTTTATATAGAAAGGGTGCATGGAGTTATCCTACCATTGGTATCTTATTTTCCTAGGAGTCTCTAGTTCTATCTAACTTGACCATCCTGTTCCAGCCTCGGGTCTTCCAATATGCTAAATGTGCAACTACTAGAATTTCTAGCAGTTGGAAATTCTGAAGGTACAACCTCAAACATTTGAAGAACACTAGGTTGGGGAAGACTGGCTAGGGATGAATGCAATAGAAATAAGTATGTTGGAAATAAAATAATAAATATATAGCTTTAAACCAAATGTAAACCATTTTAAAGTTGATTGTAAAAAAATGGATTTTTGTAATAGAGTTGTCAAAGTTTGGAATATTCTACCCAATTCAGATGTCTCAGCTACGAATGCTCATAGTTTTAACTCCAACTTAACTTCTGTGGACTTCACCCCATATTTAAGATGTCCTTAAGCGGGTGTGGATAAGTATACTAAATGTGCCTATTGTCCCTGTCACATTTTATTTATTTATTTTTCATTTTGTTTGTTTGAATTTGAAATTTTAATTTGATGAATAAATGTTAAACAAACTAATGTGAAATAAATACGTTGGACGTGGCTGGCTGTAACTTTGCTCTGTAGGCCATTCTGTAAAAATTAAAGGAAAACAAAGCAAGAGCTGGCTAAAGCAGGTAGCTACATTTAGCCAAACTTGGTTATTCCCCCAGAACTTAGATAAGAGAAACTCAAGAAATCCAAGGAGGCTGGATTGGGAAATAAAAATAAACCATTGAAGACAACAATGGCAAATTATTTTATATTGCTGCCATGAACATGACATGTGGTCACCAAGACTCAAAATCAACTTGAAGCAAACCTTTAGCTTTTAAACAAAAGACAAGACGAGCCATGGCAATTGATGCTCCATTGTTTGAGCATTGATCGGGCTACCGGGACTTGAATTCATTTTTGCATTAAATATATGACCTAAGAAAATCTCAAAGCATCATGCCTAGCCATGACAGCTACACAACATGATCCAAAAATTGAGTATGGATGGGTGGGGTGGGCAAGAGAAAAAGATGGCATCTCACAGATAAAAGGATTTGACCATTAATTTCTTAACCGGTATCGGCATGAATATATCCACAGTGAAAAGATGTTTCAAGAAAAATGGATATTTTCCCAATCATTGTACAGTAAATGCTGAACATTATTCCATAATTTGGGGGTCTGGATATCATATCTGTAGCTGAAAGAGCAGAAAATTATTCACATAATAA